AGATATGATTTCGCTTTGCAGAAATTGGTATTGTTCGGCGTTATTGTGATGTAGTGTGATGTTCGAGGTTGTGTTTATGCTGTAGATGTTCTTCTGTCGAGGTTTGGAATAAAATTGGGAAGATCTTGGGCTACCTCTTAAATAGCTGGGTAGTGATGCGTTTGGATTGCCTGGGAATTTTCAGCAAGTGTTAATGGAAACATGCACCGTTTTGGCGCATATAACAGAGCTTTTCTGGGGCATTCAGATTGGTTATTGTGCATGAACTACCTTGAAGGACGTACAATGATTTTAAATGTCTATTCACAAACAATTACAAGAAAATTCATGATTACCTACGCAGCCTTAAAAATTAGTTCGAATCCTCACCAAGGTGCGCCAAGGCGGAATATGATTGATAAGAAGTCGAAATACTGTATTCAATTCTTGCACAACGGTCGTTTGCCATATAACGGAAGGTTTCGACATGGAGCACACACTCTGAATCACTGAAGCTCCTCCGCCAAGATAAATTGACAAGTCCTTGAAGATTGTTAATAACAATGCATCTACTAGACATAGCTCGCGGATACTTAAGGGAAAGAAAGTCCCAGAATAGAATTGACTTGCTAATCGAAAATTCCTTTACCACAAAATATTTCCGGACGTGCATTTCCCATTTCAGAGGTCATCACATCCTCATTTCGGAACACAATCGCCACTACACTAAAAGCAAATCATACACCAACTGAGATTCCAAAAGATGACTAGTCCAGTCGAAGAAGTCGAAACACCCGTTCAAGAAGATACGATCAATTTTCATTGTCTAGTTTGCGGATTGAATAATGAGAATTGCCGGAATATACCAATGAAGCAGTGCAAGAATTGTCGCACTCGGTGGGAGATGAATAGTAAGGGAGATTGGAAATGTAAGAGACGTAGCTTATTCACACGATGGTATCGTGAGAAGAGTGAATGCGGGTTCTTTGAATACTGAAATGACATGGAGAAGAAATTAGATGAAGGTCAAAGTCGTGGTCTTGATTAGAGGTTTATCATATATATAAGTGATATATAATATATACGCGAGTGGTGACTCAGATTTAATATTGTCCCTTTTTGAATATTGATTTCAACTTAATTATTTATTTACAATAATAGAGGATCTGTATATATAGGCCTTTTAGGACTATCTAAAACCTTCTATTTTATTTCTTATATTTCTAATCAATGTCATCATCGCTACAAGACTAGAATCTTCTATAAGCCTCTGTCGATCCTGATTACCCCTCATTCCTAGTAACCTTAAATACAAGGCATTAAGGTTCAACACGTGGAATCGAGAAGGCTCTATCTCGATTTTTATGCGTGGCTTCAAAGGAGATGCTACAGACCCTTGATAGATTCGAGCTACATTTTGAGTCATAAAGGAAACTCGAAGAATAGGCCCCTCATATCTGTCCCGGAGACAATCTGATTCCGACAAATACCAAATTTAGAAAGCCATGATTCAAACTTGCACATGTGACAAGATTTTACAGCGAGATTGATTGAGATTAGTCACTGTTTCCTGCGCCATTCAGAAATTCAGTATCCTTTGTACAGCCTCTCTGCCATATGATTCACCACTTGCATGATACCTCTGCAGACCTCGGAGTCATTGATTGATTGATTGATTTCATTTACGTCCACCTTCAGTCTAAGACTATATAGGACGGCTAGGCCTCTAGAGGCTCTAGCGGATAACTTTTTATTCTATAAAAATGGATATATATGATTTAGGGAAGTGAAAACAAATGTTGAGGAACAGTGCCCGTTCATTATACGTATTGCATATAATAAGAAAATTGTGAAAATCAAGAAATTGTAAGGAAATCAAAGCCCTCCTTTATTTCCCTAATTACTTCTTCTTCATTCTCTTCTCCTCTCTCCTCTTCTACTACTATTCCTTCCTCTATCTCGTTTTGTATGAGAGACCTGGCTAGATGCTATGCTCTTGTGGCGATTTTGGTGATATTGATGAATTTAATGACTAATTCAATACCTACTTTTGTATAAAATAGGAATTGTATAGTGATCTTAGATAATAATATATTCTTGAATATTTCTTTTCTCTCTACTTTATATATAGAACAATTAATAAGAAGGTGTTATAAAGCCTCAATATTATTATATATATATTTATTATTAGAGAGTTTGAATCGATGTAAATAAGATTTGATATATCTATAACCTAATTTGAATTGAAAATATATACTAGTAGTGTTTCGCTTGGTTTCACTTAATAACTTGATCTTCGATCTTATTTTTTATGGAAATAGCTTTAAATAGGTCAAAGAGAATTGATTTGATTTGAATTTGTATTAATTAAAAATAAAAAGTTATTAATCTAAATCATACTCTTTGATTATTATATTTAAAAATTCAAAACTTATTTTATTGAGATAAAACATATTGTGATTATTTCCTTTACTAATTTATCTACTAGCTCATTTCCTTTTATTAAAGTATATCCTAGAATCCAATTTAGAAATATTTCAGCTCCTTTTGCTTTAATGATTTCCATTGTTTTGATTGCTCGAATCTGATAGACCTATCCAGAATGGTCTAATGATGTTTTTAAGCAATATAGACCAATTTGGTTATCCGAATATATCTTGAATTTGTTGCTAATATAGACAATTGTACTAGTATATTTAATAGCTCTAGTAACCCCGTAAAGCTTTTTATTATATACTAATTGATTGCTATCAATATTCAATTATTATTAATATAAAATTCGATTATTTGATTATATTGCAATTATACTTATACTTATATCTATTTCTTTTTTAATAGAAAGATATCAATATAAATATAGATAGTATCCTTATCTTTATAATTGAAAACGATATTGTAAAGAATAGTAATATCTTCTTTTGATAAATTGCTAATATTAACTCTAAAGAAAGTTTCCTTTTTTTATAAAGGGAAGTTGAAGTGAATAATCTTTTCAAATGAAATAGAATTAAGATTCTGATTTATTGATCCTCTAATTCTATTAAGTTGGATTGATTTATATCGTTTTCTTTGAGGAGTAAAGATTACTTCCAAATCGGTTTGATATTGAGCTGATATTTCTTTTTCAATATTGATTAAATGATTTAGCGAGAGTTTAGCTAGATAAAACACATATTACCTAATATTTGAATCTAATCGAATTTTTAAGGACTTTAAGCCTATTTCTATTTCCATTAAAAGGATTGAGACTGTTTTGAAGATTCCTAATATCTTTCGAAAAACTAGGTTTTGAAGTGATTATATTATATTCTTGAAATGAATTTGATCTTTCCACCAAATCACTAATCTGTAATTAACTATACTGATTATATATACTATATATAATTATCTAAGAGCTTTAGGATTAAGATTCTTTTCGATATTAGCTAATCAAGCCATTCGATAAAAGGCATCTTTCGCTTATGTAATTCGAATATTAACATATTAATCGAATTTGAGGTTCAAGTCAAACCATATTCCTAGCTATCTAATAAGAGATTGGGGTACAATTATTTCCGAATTGAATAGTGTGATTAGATATTTTTTCATCAATTTGAATAATGAAAAGTGCATTAGCTCTGTTTTTGCTAAATCGAATTGAATTGTATTTCTAGAACTGAGTTTATAGATTTGTTTTATAACTCTCTCTAGGGTTTTGATATTCTTTTTTCATATAAATGAATGTGTAATTAAAGCAATATCATCTATATAGAAAAGAAACTTAATCGAATTAGGTAAAAAGAGCTCCCTGATATATATAAGAAAGAGAATTGAAGAAATCGGACTGCCTTATGGTATTCCGGTCGAAATTGGCTTGAAAGATTCGATTTGATTATTAAAAGATAGTTTCAATTGTCTTTGTTGAAGAAATGAGGCTATCCAGGCTATCAGATTTGTGGGCAGTTTTGGCTTACCTCGGAGTCATGTAATTGTTTCGATTCATAGCCTTTTACAGTCAATGAATAATCTCGATATTAAAATTCAAGAAAGGACTCACAAAATCAACCTCCATTCACATATAAGTAAGAGTACATCTCCAATTCCAAACATAAATTGACCAAGTCAAATATCTCCAAATTACATATATTCTAAACACTTCCTCAGCGATTACAACAAATTCAAAGAAATCTATCTCAAGTCTTTGATTCTATTCTACGAACCACAAACCACCTCGATTCAACACATACACATCACTACGCTCCCAAATAAAGCGTACACCTCCAAATCAAGATGCCTCTCTTCAAATCCAAATCCAAACCCGTACCACAAACTCCCGCGATCGTCACTTGGAAATGTTCATGCGGAAGTTTTAATAGAGCATACGAAGGTACTGCTACTAGAAAGTGCAAAAATTCAGATTGCGAGAAGTACTGGGTATACAACAATGGAAAGTGGGAAGATGATTATCATGGAGGAAAGAGATCTTACTATGAGCCATGGAAAACAGACTCCAATGTTGATTGAAGATAGAAGATAATTTACAATGGATGACAACCTGTTTTTGTGGTGGCTATTATTGGGCTTTGCATGGGATGCTAGGTTGTGCATCAGCTCAGGGATCGTTTTGGGAATAATTCTGTTTGACGGAGTCCAGGTTATTTGCAGGAACGAGGGATTATGATTGGAGGAATCGTTGGTTTATCTGTCTTCACATGATGTTTTTAATGAATAGAATGGTTGATATACTATTGAGCTTGACTTGCAATTACAGTGACGAAGATAAGATCCAAACAAATTGTAATGACGTAATGTCCATTGAAATTTCGGTTGTTTCGCTTTGCTCCAAATATTCAGTCCTCGATCTCTTAATCAAATTTATAGATTAATTATACTCTCAATTGAAAAAATTACGCAAATTCAATTGAGTTTCTGAGCCAATCTATCTAGATATATTATTTATTTTTTCAATTTATTTAAAAAGATGAAAAGCCTTATTTGATTTTTTTTATAGCTCTATCTTCTCCTATCACTTCCTGATATTTTCACATAGGAGAATACTTCCACCAAAATTGAACTTTTTTGGTTACTCTGAACATATATTAGTATTCAATAATATCTTAGATTTCATTTAGCTCACAGATGTTTGAGTTCAATTGTCCAGTGACTGATCCACTTCTGAATCATTCCATGCCACCACATCACTCTATATCTAAATACATCATTAATACCTTTAAAGATCATGTCGTTTGGAAAAATTACTGCCAGTAGTACACCGTTTTCTTCATCTATATCATCTTCGACAACTATCACGGAAGCTCCAGATCTAGATAGTTGTAACCCATCACCTGTATCAGCATTTTCATCAGAAGTGATTTTCGGTCTTTTCTTTGATTTTTCATCATTCATGTCATCAGTATTTGACGCATCAGATCTGGTATTTGTGGCAAACTTTGGATGGGTAGTCTTGCGCTTGAGGACATTGGATGGTGCACCAACGCCATTTTTTCAGGTTTGGACTGACTTGGCAACTTGCCCGCATTGGTATTCTAAAGATTTGTTAACGAATACTTCATAGATTTGAACATAACGATGAATTACTAATGAGTAACTCATTTCTTCATCATAATCTTCCAATGGATGACCGACGGAGTTGTACCTTCGGCGTCCTGGTATGAGTTTACCAACCATGATTTCACCCAGATGGAGTGCTGTATGGTATTAGCATTGTGAAAATCTCATGGCAATATCTCACTTACCTCTATAAACCTCGCGCAATAAATTTTTGGTCTTGAATAGATATTTGACATTTTTGTTAACGCATCGAGTCTTTTCAAAAATTTCGACAGATGCACCAACTTCTCATAAATTTCTACGAGTGCTTTCGATTCTTGCTTCAAGGAAGCCAAGACTTCTGGAGTAGGAACAATTCCTGGAGTAATTCCAGCGCCCTCAAATTGCTTCACATTGTCGTCCAGAATCTCCGGGCTCTTACGTTTGTGACCAGTCCCCAGTACAAGAGCCAAGCGCACCCATCCTGAGGCAAGTTAAGCAATGAGTTTTTGATGAACTCTAAGTCACTAATCCTACCAGGAATCTGGGGTTTCTGAGGTGTTTTGGTTCATCTTTAAAGATTGAATTGAATGTTCACTAATTTGGTGTTAGTAAAGGGAACTTGTTTGAATTGGGAGTCGGGTGCAGGAACCTTGGGAGAAACTTCAACGCGTGAGTTGAACCGCAATTTTCTTGTTGTGGAAAGTGCAGAAAGTCTGGGTTGTTCTTGGGAGGTAACTGTCGCAATACAATTCTATAAGGTTATTTGAATTGCTCTGAGTGGTAACGGTGCGGGTATGGTGGCGTTCAATTACCAAATGTTATTGGAATTTTCCTGACGGGTAACTGTCTTAGAATACCGCCGTCAGCTTAAGATTACAAGAACTGACTTCAGATATTGAATAATGTAATTCGGTTCATCGGAATAATTGGCAGGAACCATTATTCCTCATGTATTGGCTTATTTGTTATTCGTCTTCGTTGGAGACTCAAACGATTGTGTGAATGCATCGATTTTGTGCTGCATGTTCGATTCTGCCATAGTAACAACAACTGCAGAATCGCTACTTCTTAAACTGTGGGTTTGATGTAATGAATAAGAATGTTCCGTGTTGTATACATATGCCCGCTGCCGTTAATCACTGAGAATGTGTTCATTTCTGCCCCTACGGGAAACTCCCTGGCTATATCGAAGCTAAGTGATTAGTTCTTTTCTCCAAGAGTAATGTAATTTACGTAGAGTCGGGTAAAACTGTACCTGTTGCCTGATCCTTGGACGGATGTCGTAGATAGCTTGTCACTTTGAGACATGACAGTAAGGTTCTCTTCGGATGAGATGGAGAGAGTGACAATCTTTTAGCGAATTTAATTTTGACGGTGTTTCAGAATGTGCTGTAGCGATAATGAGCATAACACTTTAGCTGTGATTGATGATATCAATGAAGACGAACGTGGAATTGTCAAGTTATTTGTAGTCTCGTAAGTCCATGGTCCAAAGGGTTACCTCCGAGGGAAGATGGAGAAAATAAATAAGATATCTAAAATTCTGAATCACGAACAACAATTGAGAAGAGGAATTTTAGTTGTTCCTTAGATGTAAATCTAGAAAGATTCCTTGTGAAGATCAATCTAGCCAAGGACATCCTTTAAAATTCGGGCGTTTACGGTTTCTAAACTACTGAAAAGGGGGGAGTAAAACAATTTCCAGAAACCCTCTCGTTGACATTGATTGATTGATTGATTGATTGATTGAATTTACGTCCACCTTCAGTCCTAAGACTATATAGGACGGCTAGGCCCGATAGGCTTAACAGATAACTTTTTGATTTACAATATTGATTATAATCTTATTAAGGAAGTGAAAACAAATGCTGGGGAATAGTGTCTGCTTATTATATGTATTGTATATAATAAAAAAATTCTAACAATCAAGAAATTATGAGGAGATTAAGCCCCCTTTTATTTTCTCAATTGTTTTTTTCTTTATTCTTTTTTCCTCTCTTCTCTTCATTATTACTTCTTCCTTTATTATTTCTTATTCAAGAATTCTTATTAATGTTATATCTTTATAGTAATTTTAATAATATTGATAAATTTGATAATTAATTTGATATCTATTTTGGTATATAATAGGAATTGTATAATGATTTTCGATAATAATATATTCTAGAATATCTCTTTTCTTTCTATTTTATATATAGGATAACTAATCAGAAAATATTATAGTATTTCAATATTATTATATATACATCTATTATTGAAGTAATTAAATCGATATAGATATAATTTGATATATCCGTAATCTAATTTCAATTGGAAAAGTGCATTAATAGTATTTCGATTGGTTTCAATTGGTAGCTTAATTTTCAATCCGATTTTCCATAGAAATAGTTTTGAATAGATTAATGCTGATTGATTGGATTTGAGTTTATATTATTGAAAGTGAATTTTATTAATGAAAAGGATTCTTTGATTATTATTCCTAGTAATCTAAAACTGATTTCATTCGAGGTGGATTATATTGTAATAGTTTCTTTTGCTAGCTTATCTGCTAGCTTATTCCTTTAACTGATATATATCCCTAATACCCAATTCAAGAATATTTCAGATCCTTTAGTTATAATAGCTTCGGCTGCCTTGATTGCTCGAATTTGATATACTTGGTCTGGATAATCTGAGAGTATTTTCAATTGAAAAAGGCCTGTTTGATTATTTAAATAAACCTGAACTTCTTTCTGTTATTAACAATTAAGTTAGTATATTCAATAGTTTAGATAACTTTATATAGCTCTTTATTTATAAATTAATTGATTACTTTCAATATTGACTTATTATCACGGGGCAGGCGGGCGGGATAGGGTTCTAATAACTTTACCCTAATCTGGCAAAGTTATACTGATTCGGGTAATAGGTTCAGATTGAGGATTAAGACGTAGCTCAAGGAGCTACAATACAGGATCTTCTGAGTTGAAGATATACGGAATTCTTACAGCGAGCTAGCCCGATCGGGCCCTAGCTCGCTTGTGCTCCGGTGTGAGCGCTCCTTTTGGTTCTCTCCGATAGGACCAGCATATTATATGAGCTTACACTGTGACATTACCCTCCTTCTAAGGGTCGAGCTCTGTCGAGGCGGCACGTTACGATTTACAATCTATAGGTAGGCGGGGCCTGGTCAAGCGGGACCGGGTTTGTCAGGGTATCTATAGTGGAAGTTGCGGATCAGTTTTTGTGTGTTTTCTAGGTAGCTTGCAGGTTTTTTGGTCGGTGTATTGTAGCCGATCTAATGGATAGTATATTTCAGGCGAGATCCTTCACAACCTCTTCTTTCCCAGCAAGAGTTCAGAATTTCGGCAATCTCAAAACGCTTGAGGCTGTTTATTTCTATAAAGGGTGGTAGCGGATTACACTACCCAGGAATAAGATTATTGTGTGTAGGGTATAGCAGGTTGATATAGAAATAGGATAAAATCTTTATTAAAACCGGAAGCTTTAGTTTATAGGTATAGGAGCCTACTGGGTTCAAGATTTTGAAGGGCCCAAGGTTCTTCCAATTAAGCTTCTTTTATAAACACAGGATCTTGATATTTCTGATATTCAATCAAACCAGATCGCTGGGTAGGTATCTATAGGTAAGGGAATGGTAGGTATCAGTATTTTTCGAATATCGAGCTTGACTAGTAGTCAGTTTGGTTTGTAAATATGAGGAAATGATTTTCATTTTAGTAATGAATTCTTCGGTATCTTGTATAACAGAATAATTACTCTGGGATGATATAGGCTTAAAACTCAAACAGGGATGAAACCTATAATTCGAAAAGAATAAGGTTATCCGAATGCTTTTGGACTAGGTATTGTTAATAAAGAATTCAGTAAATGGGAGCCACTTTATCCAATCATCCTATAGATATACTATATACAATCAAGATATTACTCTAGCATTACATTAGCTCTCTCAATTTATTCATCAGTTTTGGAGTGGTAAGCAATCAAAAGCTTAGCGGCTATACTTAACATTTGTAGATATATTTTTAGAATTCAAAAACAAATTGAATTCCATAATTAAATATAATAGATAGAGGTAAGTTATGGAGCTTCCAGATATTTTTTCGGAATAGATAAACAATCTTTTTAGAATTGCAGATATTATAACAAAGTAAGAAATGTTTCATTTTTATTAATCGATTGATTATTATTATAATAATATTGAAACCAATATTTCGGGCAAATATATAATGAAATTTATCAAAATATCTTGTCAAGCTCTTTATAAAATCGGGAGCAAACAAAGAACTTCTTTCTAGCCTTTACAATTTGGGATAGTGCAGTAATAACTATAATAGTTACAAACCTATTGTGTAATATAATCGTAGTATCCAGACCAGTAGTAATTTCGGAATAGTAATTCGAAGGTTCGGGGTATAGTACAGGTGACCGGTAGCAGGGCGATTCGTGATACAAATAGAGCAGGTAGGTTTTCAGGGGGTTATAATTGGGAATGTATAATTTCCCTCAATAATATAGCAGATTGTTATTTTCAGTATACTCGGTAAGAATGATTTTCGAGTATTTCAGGAATCCCTCTCATAGGGATTTCAGAATAGATTGGATACAGAATTGGTTTGATAGTCCTTTATGGAATAGGGTAAGTAGGGTCGGTAGAAAGATTAGAAGAGTTTCTGAGTCTTTAATTATATCATAGGATTGGTACAAATATAGCAAATGGAATTGCAAGACTCTATAACTTTACCATTTCCTGGTAAGGTTACAGTGTCGTTGGAATCTAAATGATTGGTAGTATCGGTAAGGTCAGGGTTTCTCTAGCTACAGTAGTTACAGCGAAATGTACTTTCTTAACAATCTGGGTTCGGTTAAAATAATAATAGCAGGAAACAGATCAGAATCTAGGTTCTCTTGTTTCAGAATAGTACGGCTTTAGTGCAAAAGATATTCATCCCTTTCCTTAAGGAAATCTTCTGATCTCCTGATTAGTATATCGGGTTTGATATCTAGTTTCCCGAAGCAATAAATGATTTGGAAATTAAATCGAAACAGAAATTCGGATTAATAGGTTTGATAATGGTTTAATAGTTTTTGTAATAATGAAATACTCTAGATTTCAGTAATCGGTAATAACTTGAATTGAAAAGGCGGCACCTTCCAGCTTCGGACGCTACTCTTCGAAACAGCGGATGATAGCTAATAGTTTTTTATCGTAAATCTTATAATTATATTCAGCTACCGAATGTTTTTTTTAGAGAAAAATGCAACAGGTCTCAATATTCCCTTATTATTATATTGGGAGAGTATTCTAGCAGATATATAGTCGAAGGCGTCAGTTTCTAAAATGATTTCCTTTTCTCAATCAAAGAAAGCTAGGATAGGGGCTTTGATAAATGCTTGCTTTAATTGATCGAATGTTTTTTGATAAGCAAGGCTTTATAGAAACGGAATATTCTTTTTGATTAGGTTTACCATCAAACTAATAATCTTTGAGAAATCTTTAATAAATTGTTGATAGAAATTTGCAAACCCGATAAACATTTGGATATCAATTATAATAACAAGCGATTTCCAATTTATAATAGTTCTGATTTTCTCTGGGTCTATTCGGATATCATCCTTTCCTATAATAAGGTCTAGGAATTTGGTTTCGGATTTCAGGAATTCGTATTTTTCGAATTTAGTAAATAAATCGGCTTTCTGTAATGCTTGCAGAACCTTCTAAATATAATAGACATGTTTCCTCTCGGGTTTGGCTGTATATCAGAATATCATTTAGGTAAGTGATACAAAATATATTCAAGTATTCTTATAAGGAATCGTTGATAAATCTCTGAAAGGTTTGTGGGTACTCTTATCAGCCCGAACGGTATAACCAGAGATTCAAATAGTCCAAATTGGGTACAGAATGTGGTTAGATACTCTTGCTCTTCTTTATTCTTA